GAAAGTGGAAGGGAGGGTACACAGAGAGCAGACAACACCCCCTGCCTCAGGCTTGAGGTGAGGGACAGGCAGGAAAAGGCAGAAGTTAAAGTGGTAATGGAGATACAGATAAAGCTCAGTAGGATTCCAAGGAGAGACCCATTCCACCCTGGGGCAGAGCCTGGGAAGGCTTTCTGGAGTAGAAGGCATTTTTTTTTTATTTTACTACTTATTTTTGTGATGCCTATTGAAAACATACACATACACATATGTATTAATATGTCTATATCTTAATCCTTTTAATTTCCTCTCCCCACTCCCCTCCTCTGTATCCCCTTCCATCTCCAGAGGAGGTAGCGTTTTAACTTCGCTTTGTGGCAAAGGATTTTCCCAACAGGTGGAGTTGTGTGAAGAAGCACATAAAAGCAGGTATGTGTGACATCTTGAATACAGAGCAGGGTGAGTGGCTGTTCTGGGAAAGAGGATGGGAAGGACATGCAGGCCGGTCAGTTAGCGACCTGGCAGGAAGTAGATGGTACAGTCACTCAAAAGAGTTCCACTGAGCAGAATTGAATCAAGCGAGGATTTATAGAGTTAGCAGGGCCCGAACAAGCAAAAGAAAGAGGATAGTGCTACTGCAGTCCAGTGAGGGCTGAACTGTTGCAGAGGGACCAAATGACAGGACCTGGGTGGCCGCTAAGGAGCACAGCCACTGCCAGAAATTCACAGGTAGTGCCTCTCCTTGGTTAAATCCAGCCAACATTGGAGGGCAAGGATCCCTGGGTCAGCCTCTCAGCACATAGAGCAGGACAAAGGACAGAAGCAAATGGAGAATAAGTGGGACAGGGTCATATGGCATTGAGTGCCGCACTAGAAGATTGTTCAGGATACCTTAGAGAAGTACTGAAAAGATGGAAGATCTGTGAATGACAGCATAGACGTTATTTGATTCTGGTTATAACTGGTGCCTGCCCCTAATGAGCATGATGTAAGAGGTAATAATGGCTTCCACAACCTGTGCACCTCTGCATCAACCTGACTGCTCTCCTGCTCTTTCCTGCCCCAAATACTATCCCCTTGGCCTCCATGTCCAGAAGGCGTTGCCCCCACATTTACCAGCCTTCTGTGCAAGTAGGACAGGTATGTTAGATGAGGGAGGTACCCAGAATGCCAGTGACTCCTTCTCTCTTCCCACCTATAATGTAGGATTCTTCTAATTGGAAGTGCCAGAAAATCCAGTTCAAACAAGTTTAAGCCAGAAAAATTAAGAGTAAGATACAGAATTTATAGCATAAGAGTCCAGAAATGGCTGCTTTCAGGATTTCAAACAATATCATCTGGACCTGTTCTTTCTTTACATATAGCCCTTGTATTCCTGCATTGTTCCCATTCCTAGAAAGACTCCTGCAGATGGGGAGATAGCTGATAACATAATTCAAGATTTCTTTTCCTCAGTTACACACCTAGAAAAGGAGAAAGATTCTGATCAACAAAACACCTTGGCCTGAGACTCCTTTAGCCCTAATTGGGACAGACTGATTTTTCAGCAATGTTTTGAGACAAAAGAAACATAGTGTTCTTATTGGCCAGACTGAAGTCACTCTTTCATTCTATGCTGTTTACCCAAACTTCTGAACTACTTATGGGGTCAGCTCCACCTGAAGCAGATGGAGAGTAATGCTATTAACATCTGGGGCAATGGCTTTTAAGTGACAGTGTCAACAAACACCTTGCTTTTTATCTAACGCATTCCTGAACTATTTCCAGACAGCAATCGTTACACACTTGTAGGTTAATTTTTATTGAATTTGTAAGTATTACAAATACCACTCAAGTTTTTCTTTAGTTATTAACCATGAGTCTTAGTCTGTTTTCTACCAGAAAGTGGTTAATTTATAAAGAGTAAAGGTTTGTCCTGCTCATGGTTCTGGCGGCTGGAAGATCCAAGGTTGCACGAGAGGACACATCAACAAAAGCCATCTTGCCCATGGCAGCTCTGCAGTGTCCCAATGTGCTGGGTATCTCATGGCCAGAAGGGTGTGCATAAGAGACAGAGCTAATTTGGCTTTTATAACATAACTACTATTGATTTATTTATCCATGATTGAATTTGTCTTTTCATGAGTACTCTGCCTAGTGAACTTTTAAAGATTCTACCTGAAAATGAGGATTAAACTTCAACGTGAGCTTTGGTGGGACCTTCAAAACACAGCATCACACGGTTTGGAATTAATTGAATTTAGACAGGAACCACCTTAAACCCTGAGGGAGGGGAGGGTGTCTTAGTCTAATCAGACTGCCCTAACAAAATACCATCACCTGAGAAACTTGTGAACCAAAATCTGTTTATCAGAATTCTTTGAGGCTGGAAAAAGCCAAGATCAAGGTCCCAAGGACCAAACCTCTTAGTACTATCACGTTGTTGATTAAATTTCCATCATAGGAATTTGGGGTTGGGAGACAGACATTCAAAGGAGAAGAAAAATAAAGCAAGGCCATAACTGGAGTTTCACATTGAACTATGTGTACCCATACACACACTTTCTTAAGAACCCACAGCTAATAGCATATTTTTGTTGAATGTTTGAATGCTTTTATCCCAAGAGCAGGAATAAAGAAAAGATGTCTCTTCTCACCCCTTCTATTCAACGTCTCAACAGAAGCCTTAGCCACTGCAATAGGGCAAGAAAAAGAAATAAAAGGCATAGACTGGGTCAGAGGGGCTGCCTCTGTTCACAATTATCATGATTTTCTACATAGGACATTCCAGGAAATTATGAAGTAATTCCTAGAACTAATAAACAGTCTTACTAGCAAGGTTGCAGGGTACAGGTTGTATAAGTCCACTTTCTTGTTGCTTTACACAATGCCTGATACCCAGACTTAAAGGAGTTTATGCACTGCAAACATGTACTAATAAAAAAATTTTTTTGGTTTTTTCTTTTTTTTTTTTTTTTTTGAGACAGGGTCTCACTATATAGTTGAGACTGACCTGGATCTCACTATGTAGTCCAGGCTGGTCTCGAACTCACAGCGATCCTCCTGCCTCAGCCTCCGAAGTGCAGGGATTACAGACATGAGCCACCTCACCTGGCCTAATAAAAAAATTTTAATTCAAAAGAAATTTCAAAGGGTTTAATTTACCTTAAAGTTTGGGGGAATTTAGTCTGCATTCAACTGGCTCCAAAGCAAGAACATCAGGGTAAAAGGGCACAGAAGAGCAAAGCTGTTTTGTTCATGGCAGCCAGGGAGCAGTGCAGCAGAACACAGAGCAGGAGAGAGGAAGAGCCAAGGGACCTTGTGTGGCTCCCAAGACAGGCTTCGTGACCTACCCAGGCATATCCATGAGCATTCTCTGCTAATCTGCTGGGAGCTCCTTCAACCAAGGAAGTTGGCATATCAGGATTAGCAGTCACAAAGGGCAACACATAAATATCCTTTTTTGTTTCTCTGTCATAGCAGTGTACAATGTTAACTTGTATAGAATAGCTCTAAAAAGTAAAAGATTAGGTATATAGCTAAAAGGACATATAGGCTGAAAATTATAAAAAACTGATGAAATAAATTTAAAAGTATATAAAAAAATAGATACACTTGTCCGTGACTTGGAAGACTCAATATAGTAATGGTGTCAATTCTCCCATAATTGATTTATGATTTAATTTAATTCTGATTGGAATCTCACCACAGATATATCAGACAAAGTGATTTTAAAATTTATATGGAAAGGCAGAGGAATTAGAGTAACTAAAGCAGTATTGGAGAAAGTAGAAGAAATTGGAGGAATCATCTTTCTTCTTTTAATACAGTAAGACAGTACAGCATTGTGAGAAGATAGGCACAGATCAGTGATGCAGAAAAGTGATTCCAGAAATAGACCCGCACAAATATGCCCAGCTGATTTTTAACAAGTATAAAAGCTATTTGAAGAAGAAAGGAGACTCTTTAACAAATGGTGTTGGAACAACTGGACAACATATGAAAAAAAAACCCTAAACCCAAATGTCACATTTTATTTAAAAAACGAACTCCAAATGGATTATAGATTAAAGGAAAAGAGTAAACTAGGGAACTTTTAGGAGAAAAATCTTTATGACTGCTTTTAAGCAAAGAGACTTTGACACCACCAAAGTGCAGTTTGTAAAGGAAATTTGATAAATTGTACTGTATAAAAATAAAAACCTTTTCTGTACAGAAGACATAGAGTGAGTAAACAAGCTACAAACTGAAAGAAAATAATTGCAGGTCACATATTCAACATATCTGAACTTCTGTGCAGAATACAGGTGGTTACCTTTGAAAATGGATGGACACTTCAGTAAGGAATATGTGCCAATGCCAAACACTGAAAGATGTTCAGCATCATTACCAATTAAGGAATTACAATTAAAACCGCAACAAGCTACCTTCCAGTAAATACCTATTAGAATGGTTAAAACTTTTTTAAAAAATGCAACACCAAGGGCTGATGATGATATGCAGCAACTCTTAAACATTGCTGATGGGCAGCGCAGTGCCTGCTTGGCAAGCACAAGGTCCTGAATTTGATCACTGGTAC